TGAGGGTGTGAAAACATATTCATGCAGGTTCTTGTTTTTTCAGGATAAATGTCACGTTAAATGTTTCAGAACTCACCGCTCGACGTCACAAAAAGTGACTTTAACAGGGGTGTGAAAACTTTACAGCCCTGCTTATAGAAAAGATGATTATTTCTGAAAACTAACAAACGACAGCAAAGGGGAACATGCAGGTTGCTTATTACAAAAAGAAAAAATAAATGTTCAAAATAAATGACATATGAACAGTTTTAGTGAGATTTTTATGTTAAGAAATTAAAAAATATTTTAAACTTTCAGAAAAGGGGATAAAAATGTGAAATCAGAGGAGTTTTAGTTACACTTAGCTTCAGTTTCCTGTTTAAATTGTTAAAAATCTGAGCTGGAACCTGATTGGCCGGCTGCCTGAGCGCCTCCATTCGCTGAGGGTCATAGGTCATCAGCTCTGTGATTCCTGCAGACTGGAAGTCAAAGCAACAGAAACTGAGGATGTAAAGGCCAAACAGCTGTCTGGTGTTTTCTACTGAAATCATTTTATTTTTGTAGATTTGGACCAACAAGCTCCGCTGGTTCTGCCGTCACAGTCACGCTCTTTGTATCAGAATAAACATTTGTACCGGACCGAACCGAACTCTGGTCTGTCTGTTCCCTGTGTGTTTGTCTGGTTCAGGATCAGCACCGCCCCCTGCAGGCCGACTGGGGAACTGCTTCACGAATGTCAAATTTTCAGATTTCTATGTTTAATCTTGAGCAGAGTTGGGTTGTGACAAGTTACAATTACTTAAGTAAAAAAATGCACTTTGAGTATTTTTCCTACACTGCACTTTTTATTTGAGTAAAATTTCTGGATTCTCCACCCACTTTGAGTAACTTCACTGAATAAAGAACAAACATGTTTTAACCAAAAATTCACCAGGCACAGACACACATGCAGCTTTTGTTAAAGTTTCCTAATTTTTTATTGAAAGAAATTGCTTTAGAAAACATTTCTTTTGCCTGATTATTTTTTGCTATTATATGAATTATTTTCATTTCTGTGGAGGACGCTGCTGCTGGTTTCCAGTTCTCCCAGTCACACAGACACACTGGAACAGTTTACTCTTTATTTTCACACTTGAAACCAACTTCCAGTCTCATGAAGAAAAGTTTCTATCTTTAAACAAAGTTCTTCTCACCTCATATGAACAAAAATATTATTTAACAGAAACTTAATATCACCCAGAATGTTTCCATGGTGATGAGCAGCAGAGATGAAATCAGACAGAAACGCTGAGAGTTATTGGAAACAAAATGGTTTCATCCAACTAGCAATCTGTTGAGATGTTCTTTAAGTAAACATGATCAGCCTCTCAGCTTTCTTGTGATTTAATGAATAAGGTTTTATTTAGACTTTGTGTTCTTCATGCTGAGAAGATCAGAGCTGCTGTTTGATCACTGAGATCTTCATTGGCAGGATTTTTATTTCATCAAATTGAAAAAATATAGTGTTTAATAAGATAACTTATTTTTTACGGTGACATTAATGCCAGAATTAATAAATAATACAGACTTTGTGCTACTGTCATTTAGTGATGTATTTATTTTAGTTGTGTTTAAATCGTATCCTATTTTTAAGACTACAATGACACACATTTGTAAAAGCGAGGAATCGATCAGTACTCACCGCAGTTACGATAACCTATTTAGACAGTTTAGCAGGGGAACCAAAGCGGCTGCTCAGTTTGCTTATGCCTTGGGCCGGCCCTGGGTGGAAGTAACTTCCTCTGTCTGTTTTTATCTCAAACGGAGCCCCGCCGCATTTCCCACGGTCC